CTGTTCTGTTCTGTTCTGTTCTGCTCTACTCTGTTCTGTTCTTTTCGTTTTTGCTCTCCCTTGCCCCTACTCTGCTCTGTCTACTCTACTCTGCAGTGCTCTATCTCCTTAATAACTCAATTCGCTCTACCTATGTTTGTTTTTTTGTTTAAAAACGCCTACTCGGCTCTAATATACCTACTTGTTCTACTCTACTCGCTACTCTACACTGCTTATTATTTGCTCTACTTTCGGGTCTGGCGTGATTGTACAACATCAGCACGGTCAGGTGGTATTTTTCCCCCCCCTCCCCTTTCGTAAACCTCTCCCCTTTTCTTCCCCTTATCCTTCCATTCTCAATCCCCCTCTCTCCCCTTTCCCCTTTAATATATACCTCTACCTTCTTCTCCCCCCCCTCTCAAACTCTTTCCCCTTTCTAACTCATCGATCTCTCTCTCTTCGTCATTCTGCTGCATCGCTATCATCTCGCCTCCTCTGCTCTTTCTCCTCTCTTATCCTCTAGCTCTCTTCTCACGCTCCCTCTCATACTGCTCTCCCTCTCAGTAACGAGAGCTTACATCTCAACTTTCTTTCTGTCTTTCTTTCTTTCTTAGTCTTTCTTTATGTCTTCTTATCTTTCGTCTTATTTTCTTTCTTTTCTTTTCTTTCTTTCTTTCTTTCTCCCACTCTCTTTCTTTCTCTCTCTCTCGCTCATCTCTCTCTCATCTCTCTTATCTCTCTCTCTTACTCTCACTCACTCACTCTCTCACACAAACACAGCATCTTCTCAGAGGGCAACGATCTTCTTGACAGGTTGTAGGCTAGTAGGCAATGCTCTAGTGTCAACAGGCTGAATTATGAATTAGGCTAGTAGATACCGTCAGAACCAGTCAACCTGCCAGGTGCCCCTGCAGGCCGGACATGATGGGAAAGACCAATTACAGCTGATCAGCCCAGCTCCTGGGTCGATGGAAACATGAAGCATGTCTAAATTGGATTGGAGTTTCTAGTTTCCGCCAAGAGCGTGCACATCCAGCTAAGAGCGTGCACGTCGAGCTTAATAAAAGGAAACACGTGTGCCAAACATCCCGAATCAGACAAACCATGACTTGTTGGATTTAGAACCATAAAACAACTAGCGGCGCTTCCTGTGGACACACACACACTCCGGGCCCTATCCTGTATGGTCGTCAGTCTGTTGACAGCCAGATAATGTGATCAGCAGAGTTACGACCTGAACAGCGACACAGCCTTCTGCCCCGGGGACTGACACACACACACACACACACACACACACACACACACACACACACACAACTGCACAGATTACAGGACAATTTACCAGTTGTTGGCTGGAAGCTGGGAGCTGGAAGCTGGAAGCTAGGGAATGAAACTAGGAGTTTATAGTGTGCTAAATGGCTTTTTATCAATAATGGACATTATTGAAGGCCCTGGATGAAGCCCACAATAAACTCCTAGCTTCCAGGCTTATAGAGGAGCAGAAAGAATGCTTCCCAAACTAACCAGAATGCCACCATGTTTGTGATGCACTTGTCACAGTAATTTATGGAAAGAAAACAAGAATATGAAAACGAATAAAGAAGGAGCAGGTCTCCTAAACTGGCTGGAGCCTCCCTAGCTGTACCGACAGAGCCCCATCTGGAGCCTCCCTAGCTGTACCGACAGAGCCCCATCTGAGTCCTGATAGCTAGTTGTCACACCAGAGTCCCCTGGCCTCCATCAGGCACCAAACCAACCATTCACCACACCAGAATCCACCTGCCTATATCAGGCACCAAACCAACCATTCACCACACCAGAATCCCCTGGCCTCCATCAGGCACCAAACCAACCATTCACCACACCAGAGTCCCCCTGCCTATATCAGGCACCAAACCAACCATTCACCACAACAGAGTCCCCCTGCCTATATCAGGCACCAAACCAACCATTCACCACACCAGAATCCCCTGGCCTCCATCAGGCACCAAACCAACCATTCACCACGGCAGAGTCCCCTGGCCTACATCAGGCACCAAACCAACCATTCACCACACCAGAGTCTCCTGGCCTCCATCAGGCATCAAACCAACCATTCACCACACCAGAGTCCCCTGGCCTATATCAGGCACCAAACCAACCATTCACCACACCAGAATCCCCTGGCCTCCATCAGGCACCAAACCAACCATTCACCACACCAGAGTCCCCCTGCCTATATCAGGCACCAAACCAACCATTCACCACAACAGAGTCCCCCTGCCTATATCAGGCACCAAACCAACCATTCACCACACCAGAGTCCCCTGGCCTCCATCAGGCACCAAACCAACCATTCACCACGGCAGAGTCCCCTGGCCTACATCAGGCACCAAACCAACCATTCACCACACCAGAGTATCCTGGCCTCCATCAGGCACCAAACAAACCATTCACCACACCAGAGTCTCCTGGCCTCCATCAGGCATCAAACCAACCATTCACCACACCAGAGTCCCCTGGCCTATATCAGGCACCAAACCAACCATTCACCACACCAGAGTCTCCTGGCCTCCATCAGGCACCAAACCAACCATTCACCACACCAGAGTCCGTGGGCCTCTATCAGGCACCAAACCAACCATTCACCACACCAGAGTCCCCTGGCCTCCATCAGGCACCAAACCAACCATTCACCACACCAGAGTCTCCTGGCCTCCATCAGGCACCAAACCAACCATTCACCACACCAGAGTTTCCTGGCCTCCATCAGGCACCAAACCAACCATTCACCACACTAGAGTCCCCCTGTCTACATCAGGCACCAAACCAACTGTTCATCGTAAACACAGCATCATTTGTTTCTCCTTCTGACCAATAATTTTCTGTGATTAAAAAACATTCTGTGTTTGTGTTGAATGGGTCTATTTCATGTCAGAAGGTAATGTAATAATCTCCAGCTGTCATTATGGCCCCGTTTTCCCGCACGCCAAACTCCATATGATCCCCGTTATGAGAACCAGACAGCTCTCACATGGCACCGCAAACCCTCTCCCACACCGGTGTAGCGGGAGACACAAAACCGTTTTACTTACAGAAAGCCTCCAAATTAATAACGGAAATGTCCGCTTCAACCGAGAAGGAGCGAGAGTTTCATGGAGATATTTTAAATAGGCTCTCCAGATGTTCCGAGTTTGTCTCGAGTCAAATATTTGTCCCAGGATTTCCCCCTGTCCTTTAAATAACATTCTATTACCACTCTCAACAGTATGTTGCCACGCGGGCGGAAAGAAGATGAAATCAATATTAAATATGAAAAACTCCTAAAATAATCTGTCATATGGGTTGGCTTCCAAAAAATATATGCAAACTAACATCTAATTTTCTTTATTGACAAACTAACATTGAATTTATTTTATTGACAAACTAACATACTATTTATTTGATTGACAAACTAACATTGAATTTCAGAATCTTTTTCCGTTTTAAAACAGATTTTATTTTGTATTAAATATCACACGTGTAATTATTCTCTAATAGGCTATATTATAATTATGTATGGTCAAACTTAAAACAGAACATGGCTTTCTATATTGGGAAAAGATAACTCTAAATATTGTTGTTCACATTTAGCTTAAATCAAATGTATATTTGGTTGCCTTTTAGGAACGAGTTCTTCAACAAATACAAAAGAGACGTTGAATGTATTTCACTATTTTGAATAATAGACTAAATACAAATACAAATACAAAATTAAAAATAGAACATGGAGAAGTTGTAATTAAACCAACACACCAAACAAATGGAGCACGAAATGCATTATTCAATGCCTTTTTCCCAATTAAAATAATTGTTTTTATAATGGCAGATTTTAATAAAACAACCTGAAATGAAAAGAAAAGCTAGGGTTTTGACGGGGATGAGCAATATCTTGCTTAATGGTGTTTTAACAGTGCATCTAATATGGCTGTCTACATGTTTGGTGAACTGTCTAGTCAAAAGGTGAGTCCAAAAACCCGCTGAGGAGTATCAGATGCATTCATACAATAGAATGATGAAGGCTATTAGAAAAATGTAATTACATTTACATTACATTTTACATTTGACATTTTAGTCATTTAGCAGACGCTCTTATCCAGAGCGACTTACAGTTAGTGAGGGCATACATTTTACCAAATAAATACATAATTTATTGGGGGCAGGTAGCTTAGTGGGCGGCAGGTAGCTTAGTGGTTAAGAGCGTTGTGCCAGTAACCGAAAGGTCGCTGGTTCTAATCCCCGAGCCGACTAGGTGACAAATCTGTCGATGTGCCCTTGAGCAAGGCACTTAACCCTAATTGCTCCTGTAAATCGCTCTGGATAAGAGCGTCTGCTAAATTACAAAAAAATTAAAAATACATTAAAATAATGAGAACTGATAATTGCTGTCTGTCGACGGAGAGATTGTCATCCTTAACTATGCGTAAAGTTCTGTTTGTGTGTGTATGTGATGCCCAATAAAGGACCATTAGAGCGCCCTCCTTCTCCTACCGTGACACTGTGAAGGAGAGAGACTAGAAGCTGAGAGAGAGATTTTAAACGTCTACATTATTTTAAAACTTTTGTGAGTGTAATGTTTAGTGTTTATTTCCGTTGTTTATTTCCCTTTTTGTTTATTGTCTATTCCACTTGCTTTGGCAATGTAAACACGTTTCCCATGCCAATAAAGCCCTTTGAATTGAATTGAATTGAGAGAGAGAGAGAGAGAGAGAGAGAGAGAGAGAGAGGAACAGAGGAGCGTGAAAAGGAGGAAAGGGAGGAGAGAGAGGGGAGCGGAAACAGCAGGGCGGTTGACAAGGATTTAGATGCATAGTGCGCGCGCCACGGAGCCATGGGAACTCACTGGGTCAATTAGCTGCGTCTCATAGCCACAAGAACAGAAGACAGACCGACAGACCGGGGGCTCGCGGAGGCCCTGGATGAGGCGGGAAAACGGAACAGCGCACGACAAGAGTGCAGCCTTCAGGACCCCGGAGAGAGGAGACTGACCGCCTTGCGCCAGGATGCAGGGTCTGAGCTCGCGAGCCCACGCTTTCTCGGTGGAAGCACTCGTCGGTAAAACGATCAAGAGGATGAAGGAGGAGAACGGGAAGGACTCGAGCTCACCGGGAGACACAGAGACGGAGACAAGCCCCGTTCGGCAGGAGACAGAGGAACAAGGTCGGTCGAAAAAACAGTACAGTGTAATGGAGTGTTATTTTTGCTTCTTCTGAGAAGCACTGTCCAAGTTGTAAAATAGAAAACAACAACTTGTTTTGTGGCCTTGTATTGAGTTAGTAGGACTATTGATGACGCATTCCTAGCGTTTTTCACTTCAATAGTTTATCAAATGTTTTCATTAAAGGAAACAGCTGAAAGCTTACACTTAAATGGAATCAAGCCAGTAGCATTCTACATGTTCAGGAGACAACAGTTCTAATGTATCAACATTTACATTACATTTATCAACAATATAGAATGTCTTAAACTGTTCCTTTACTCAAAAAAGTATGAAAAATGTATGCACTCACTAACTGTAAGTCGCTCTGGATAAGAGCGTCTGCTAAATGACTAAAATGTAAAATGTAAATGTAAAAAGATTACCCAAAGGACCAGAGAAGGAAGGCTGGTAACACGCCGAGAAGGCCGGGAGAGAGCGACTCTGAACCGGGGAGAGAAGAAAGGAGAAGACCGGGAGAGAGTGACTCTAACCCGGGTAGAGAGGAGAGAGAGGTCCGGGTGGAGCTCCAGGGGTCGGATCTGTGGACCAGGTTTCATGAGATTGGGACAGAGATGATCATTACCAAAGCGGGCAGGTAAAACTGACACCTTCACACGCCTACCAAACTGTCAAATTACAGACCTTCACACAAGCTAACTAAACTAGGTCAAACTCAGGCCTTTACACATTAACACACAGTAGCCAATACACTACACTATAGACCAACACTAATCAAACTGATTTACAGTATGAGGATAATAAACATGTTGCACTTGCAAAAACATACATTATACATTTTTGTCATTTAGCAGACGCTCTTATCCAGAGCGACTTACAGTTAGTGAGTGCATACATTTTTCATACTGGCACCCCGTGGGAAACGAACCCACAACCCTGGCGTTGCAAGCGCCATGCTCTACCAAATGAGCTACAGGACTATAGCCTATTATTTGATTGATGTTACGACATCTTTACAGCTATATCTACAGTTAGAGAAGGGTATTTTCGTTTTATAAGATGACAGAGAAATTAAATGTACAATTTACTGCAGCCTTTAAACTATTGAGTGTTTATTTATTTTCACCAATAGAAAGACCGTTTTTACACAGTTGAAAAACACAACAACAGTATGTGTAGGAGGGGAAAATGCCAAAAGGGCTTGTCAAGTAGTTATTTTACAGGGTCAGTACACCCCGTAAAAAAAAAATGAGGATACGTTTTTATCATTTTATAAAAGGCCATTGGAATTTTTTGAAATATTTTAGGGTTGCATTTTTTCATAGTAATTCTATAACTTTATATTATTTGACTCTTATCATATAATTAACAATTTGCATGCTTTATTCTTCAGGAATTGGAGCTCTGTTATTTTGTAATTACATTTATGGGTAATCTTGTAATTTAAACTCTTTGCATATTCTTTAACATTTTCACGATAACATTTTCATAAAAGCACGTTATTATATATCGGCTAAACATTTCATGACTTGTTATAAATTATATTATCTCTGTTGCTGCAAAGTTATTTTTAAACATTTGATGGTCGTTTTTATGAGAAGAGTAATACATCTCGTCAGAATGCCCTCGTGGCCTCAGAGTTTCACCTTGACTGAGGTCCGCAGCATCTCTTTCTCTGGTCTTACATTGCCAACGAATTTAACTGACGCATCAAAACACTGATTATTTATTTATTTACATTCATCAGACGCTCTTATCCAGAGAGATTTACAGGAGCAATTAGGGTTAAGTGCCTTGCTCAAGGCCACATAGACGGATGTTTCACGTAGTCGGCTCAGGGATTAGAACCAGCGACCTTCCGGTTAATGGCACAACGCTCTTAACCACTGAGCTACCTGCCGCCCCCTGATCTCTGCTTGTTTTATCAGTTCTCCACAGCAGTTGATATTTAATAACATTATGGATTAAATTAAATATGCTGTTATATGATGAGGATTTTAGCGCATGTATATCTACTTTAAACTCTGTGTGTGTGTTTTCTACAGGAGGATGTTCCCGTCCTTGCGCGTGAAGGTGCGTAACCTGGACCCGTGCCAGCAGTACTACATCGCCATGGACGTCATGCCCGTCGACTCCAAACGATACAGGTAGACCCTAAACGTATATGTAGCCTACAATTATAAATTGCACGAAAGGAAATTGTCTCCTATTTTAGAAACTTACTTTAAAACCAGCGCATTATTGCATTAATAGGTCTAGCCTACATGTATTTCCTTTGTTTCTTCATTTCTCTCAAATGAAGCTACAAACTCTACTCAATTTCTATACTGTAAATCAAACATTTTACCCAATTGGCCCAGCGTCGTCCGGATTTAGCCGGTGCAGGCCGTCATAGTAAATAAGAATTGGTTCTTGACTGACTTGCCTAGTTAAATAAAGGTAAAACAACTATAATAAAAAACAAACAATTCATGAGTACAGTGTGACAGCAGCGGTGCTTGGGTAAAATCACTGGGGAAGCCAAGCTAGGGGAAAAAAGCCATATTACAACCAATGTGTTGTGATAATTGCGTTGGTTGCTCTATAACCTGTCAGTTCATATGCCTTGCTACCGTGATAGGCCTAAGGCTGAGACAATAAGTTTCAAGTTTCAATGTCACATGCACAAGTACAGTGAAATGCTGTTCTTGCAAACTCAAAACCCATCAATGCAATAATTAATAACAATTTATTTCTAAAAAAAAACACACAAAAACAAGAGAATAAAAAATTAGAAATATTAAATAAACAATACCATAGTAAGTAAGCATACTATATACAGGAAATATTTAAAAAGTCAGTTCCAATACCATAGTAAGTAAATATCATGGTCAATCTAGTCAATATTTCAGAAATGTTCGGTCCACTAAACAACTATTGATTTAGAACACCGGAGAGTTACCGCAAGTTGCAAAGAAAACAGGAGCTGCCTCCACTATTCCAGCACCATTTCAACTTCAACATCATCAAATCACCTATACTTAGTCTAATACAGTGACAACTAAAAGATTCCAAAAACAATTTAGTAATCAATGTGAGCTAAATACTATGTGGCTGTCCATGGCACTGATTGCTGTGTGTGTTTAAGTAGAAAAAACATGTTGACTCACCCTACTTGTAGAGAAACACCAATGCCATCCTCCTCTTTCATGTTGCCTAAACGCTCTATGACTCTGTCACACAGTACACCCTTTTAGTTTTGGTTGTCCTCGGCTACCTGACTAAAACACTTGCTCGCTAGCCTAACTTCCTTTCATGGGCAATGATTAGCCAGCTAGTTAACATTAGCCTTCTACATCTAGCTACATATTGAACTTCCATCCTCTCAGTCCAGGGGCACAATGTATTAATTAATGGTTGGATCAGAATTGCCGTTATAATCATTGGCCAGGAAGGAGAATTAAGTAAAACCACAAGTCCAACTCCCTGTCTCCATCCATGGCTAATTTAGGAAAAGGCCAATTGTAGCTAGCTGGCTAGCCACCGGAGGACAAAACACAATGAGATGCAACAATTCAATTTTGTTTTATGTCAATGAGGTTTGGCTTTTGATGTGAAATCCAAACTGGCTTCCGTAAAAAAAATTGTTTTGGTGTGCAAGGACCATTCACAGTTGAGTTCACTCAGTTTAGCTCAAAGCTGATTGGCTATTATTGTATAATTTATTTATCAAGGGAGGCCAAATGATTGCTGGCTTCCCTTGCATTTAATGCTAAGGGCGGCAACAATGTCATACTCTTTTTCGCCACACAGCATCAGATAGATGGGCTACACATACAGAGACAGAGGGGGCGCTGTTTCACTCACTCGGATGCTTTCTCCGGTGAGAGACATTCAGCAAATTAAAGGAACATTATGAAACACAGAGAGACGAAAGATACATTATTGTATATGTTTTTTCCCTTAATCTTGGCAATTTTTTTTGGGTAAGCCTGGCTTTCCTTAGCATCCATGAATACACGCCACTGGAGGGTGAAGGGGTATATAAAATACAGCCTAAATATAGTGACAAAAATGTTTGACTTAGAAAGTCAGTTACTTCAGGCCAAACTCTTATGGCATAGCTTTGTAAGAGGAGAACTCTGTGGTCACAACTCATTATTAGTCTTTTCACCTGTTGTTGGTGAAGCCAACTTCTCAACTCTGTGTGGACAATAGAGTGGAAGTAGTGGATATTGTTTTCTGTTGTATTCAGGTATGTGTACCACAGCTCCCAGTGGATGGTGGCGGGAAACACAGACCACTCGTGCATCGCGCCTCGCCTTTACCTGCACCCCGACTCCCCGTGCGTGGGCGAGACTTGGATGCGTCAGGTGATCAGCTTCGACCGGGTCAAACTGACTAACAACGAGATGGAGGACAAGGGACACGTAGGTCACGTCTCTATTTCTGGTCTACTATCATTTCACCTGCTATGTTCTATTACAATCTGACTGCTAATCTATATGACTTTATTACACATGGCTGGAATGCTGTTTTAGCCAATCAGCATCCAGGATCCAAACTACCAGGTTTAGAAATACTATTATAATCCGGGTAGTGTGGGTCCTGGATGCTGATTGGCTGAAAGCCGTGGTATATCAGACAACATACCATGGGTATGATGCAACATTTTCTAATAATGTTGTTAACCAGTTTATAATATAATGACTTGTTTACTGTTCCAAGAATGTTGGTAACCAGTTTAAAATAGAATGACTTGTTTAGTGTTCTAATAATGCTGGTAACTAGTTTATAATAGAATGACTTGTTTAGTGTTCTAATAATGCTGGTAACTAGTTTATAATAGAATGACTTGTTTAGTGTTCTAATAATGCTGGTAATTAGTTTATAATAGAATGACTTGTTTAGTGTTCTAATAATGCTGGTAACTAGTTTATAATAGAATGACCCTAACCCTAACCCTAGTTTCTAATAGCAATAAGGCTCCTCTGGGGTTTGTGGTATGTGGCCAATATATCATGACTAAGGGCTGTATCCAGGGAGTCCACGTTGCCCTTAGCCATGGTGTTTCGGCCATATACAACACCTCCTTAATGCTTAATATATTCTATCACTGTATTTTATGGGTCAAGAGCAAACAATTTACTGAAAGAGGTTTCGAACTATCTGAGAAGAGAAACAGTTTTGTTAGAAAAAAGGCTATAGTCACGATGAAAGTTCTTTTAAAATGGCTACTGAATGGTGATGATGTTTGGTATGTTTGTCTGGGATTTGGGGGTTGTTATTGGTTGACCTGCTCTAAGGTCTGCACATCTTACAGACTGTATTTAATGACAGTTGGTTGTTATATAATCATGTATGAAGTTCAGAAACCTCCTAAACACAACATACATGACCAAAATGCATGTAATATCTATGTTGTGCTGATTGACATCACATTGCCATCGTTCTCTAAACAACTCTCTTGGTCCAGATCATTCTACAGTCGATGCATAAGTACAAGCCTCGCGTCCATGTGATCCGCCACGACCCCCGGCTGGACCTATCAAAGATCCCTTCGCTGCCAACTGAGGGTATGGCCAGCTTCTCCTTCCCAGAGACAGAGTTCACCACCGTGACAGCCTATCAGAACCAACAGGTACATACTGTCAGCAAGTCAGAACCAATAGGTACTGCCTTAACCAATCAGAACCAACAGACAGTTACTGTGTCAGCCAATCAGAACACACAATCAGAACCAATAGGTAGTTAACTTAGTTATTGACAATATGAATGATGATTACTGCTAACACAGTAGAATGGATCAGGAGGACTGGCTTCACTGTGGTCTAAACTAGAAACTCAGTAGAATGGATCAGGAGGACTGGCTTCGCTGTGGTCTAAACTAGAAACTCAGTAGAATAGATCAGGAGGACTGGCTTCACTGTGGTCTAAACTAGAAACTCAGTAGAATGGATCAGGAGGACTGGCTTCGCTGTGGTCTAAACTAGAAAACTCAGTAGAAGGATCAGGAGGACTGGCTTCACTGTGGGTCTAAAATAGAAACTTCAGTAGAATGGATCGGAGGACTGGCTTCGCTGTGGTCTAAACTAGAAACTCAGTAGAATGGATCAGGAGGACTGGCTTCACTGTGGTCTAAACTAGAAACTCAGTAGAATGGATCAGGAGGACTGGCTTCACTGTGGGTTCTAACTAGAAACTCAGTAGAATGGATCAGGAGACTGGCTTCACTGTGGTCTAAACTAGAAACTCAGTAGAATGGATCAGGAGGACTGGCTTCACTGTGGTCTAAACTAGAAACTCAGTAGAATGGATCAGGAGGACTGGCTTCGCTGTGGTCTAAACTAAGAAAAACTCAGTAGGATGGATCAGGAGAATGGCTTCACTGGTGGTCACTAATAAACTCAGTAGATGGATCAGGAGGATGGCTCACTGTGGTCTAAACTAGAAACTCAGTAGAATGGATCAGGAGGACTGGCTTCACTGTGGTCTAAACTAGAACCTCAGTAGAATGGATCAGGAGGACTGGCTTCACTGTGGTCTAAACTAGAAACTCAGTAGAATGGATCAGGAGGACTGGCTTCGCTGTGGTCTAAACTAGAAACTCAGTAAAAATGGATCAGGAGGACTGGCTTCGCTGTGGTCTAAACTAGAAACTCAGTAGAATGGATCAGGAGGACTGGCTTCACTGTGGTCTAAACTAGAAACTCAGTAGAATGGATCAGGAGGACTGGCTTCGCTGTGGTCTAAACTAGAAACTCAGTAGAATGCATCAGGAGGACTGGCTTCGCAGTGGTCTAAATTAGAAACTCAGTAGAATGGATCAGGAGGACTGGCTGTGTGTGTGTGTGTGTCTGTGTGTGTCTGTGTGTGTGTTTGTGTGTCTGTGTGTGTTTGTTTGTGTGTGTGTGTGTGTGTGTGTGTGTGTGTGTGGTGGTGTGTGTCTGTGTGTGTGTGTCTGTGTGTGTGTGTGTGTGTGTGTCTGTGTGTGTTGTGTCTGTGTGTGTGTTTGTGTCGTGTGTTGTGTGTGTCTGTGTGTGTGTGTGTGTGTGGTGTGTGTGTGTGTGTGTCTGTGTGTGTGTGGTGTGTGTGTGTGTGTGTGTGTGTGTGTGTCTGTGTGTGTGTGTGTGTGTGTGTGTGTGTGTGTGTGTGTGTCTGTGTGACCGTGGTGTTGGCTGTGGTCCCTGCAGTAACAGAAGTCTATCGGGGATTGGCAGCAGCTCTCTTCATCAGGGTCCGCTTCACTAATGCTGGACGTGTAATAATATAGAAACACACACAGACACCATCATGGTCTGTTTTACCATAGCTCCTACTAAACCAAGCTAAGGACAGTGACTGTGGAAACCATAGCTCCTACTAAACCAAGCTCAGGACAGTGACTGTGGAAACCATAGCTCTTACTAAACCAAGCTCAGGACAGTGACTGTGGAAACCATAGCTCCTACTAAACCAAGCTCAGGACATTATTCTAGAGACCAGAGAGTGACCAGGCTGGCTAAGGATGGCTGACTGTCAAACACCAACACACTCCTTGTGTGTGTGTGTGTATGTGTATGTGTGTATGTGTGTGTGTGTGTGTGTGTGTGTGTGTGTGTGTGTGTGTGTGTATGTATTTGTGTGTGTGTTCGAGTGTGTTCGAGTGGGTTCGAGTGTGTTCGAGTGTGTGTGTGTTCGGGTGTGTGTGTGTCCTGTTTGAAATGGCTGGCTGCCAAGGTGGCTGTAAGGATTTGTAATCCCAGAGGGTGTGGCCTACAGCCTCCAGCTCCCAGCAGCCCTCAGCTCAGCGCTATAAACGGACTGAGGAGGTTGTTGTTGTCTTAACAGCTCACGCCTCCAAACACCTTACATGACTAATAACATGACATCACTGTAGCTACATTACGCTATCATCACATCAGTGTTTTGTGTTTTTGTGTTTTTCTGTTGTGTTTGTTTGTGTTGTTTTTGTGGTGGTGTTGTTCTCTTTGTTTCGCTGTGTTCATACAATAACTTCACTTAAAGATTTAAGTCACACACTAAAACATCACATATAACATGTAAATCTCACGATACTAGACATAGTAATGATGCACAATTAGATCTTTGTTTTAATATTATTTTTTTTTTATGTACAGTCACTACAATCTGTTCTCAAATTACCATATGTAGCACATTATGTTATCACAACTGTTGTTCCTGTCTTAATGTTTGATTTTTAATGGACTGTATTACTATATATATCACACTATTACCGTGTCCTCGATCTATATTTCAAAATACACACACAGACATACTCACTCGATACAAGAACATACAATACTGATATATTACAATCAGAGTATATATCCCACTCACTTAGTACTTATTTATAATGTATAACTGTATAATCTGATATAACACTAATCCTGTATATTATTCTCACATTAGTAATTGCTATATCTACATCTGTTGTTACATACTCACACAATTGTAATTATATATATACATCAGTACTAGCTTCTAAACACACACGTAGATACATATTCAATCACTAGCACTACTAACATCAATCACTGTAGTACTACTCTATATCAACACTGTAGCTACTTATACATAATACATCACTTACTACATTACTACTATCACAAGTATCCATTACTAATCATCACATCCTGTTTATACTACTATATCACATCACTGTAGTCATTACTTATCTTCTGTAGCTTGTATTACTCTATTCACATCATGTGCTACATTACTCGTTCATTCACTGTAGTGTACTATATTACATCCTGTAGTTTACTACTATTCAATCACTGTAGTGACTTTACTATTACATCATGTAGTACTTACTATATATCCATCACTTAGCTATTATACTATCATAATCTGTATATTACTACTATCACATCAATGAGCTCTTACTACTATCATACATCACTGTAGTATTACTCTATATCACATCACTGTATACATACTACTATCATCACATCACTGTATAATTACTACTATCATCACATCACTTAGCTACATTACTACTATCATCACATCACTGTAGTACATTACTACATCATCACATCACTGTATACATACATACTTACATATCATCACATCACTGTAGCTACATTACTACTATATCACATCACTGTAGCTACATTACTACTATCATCACATCACTGTAGTACATTACACTATATCAATCACTAGCTACATCCACTATCACAATCACTGTATATTATACCTCACACATACACTACTCACTGTATTACTACTAATCACATCTGTAGCTACATTACTACTATCATCAATCACTGTATATTACTACTATCATCACATCACTTATACATTTACTTATCTATCATCAATCCTGTAGTACATTACTACTTATCACATCACTGTAGTACATTACTACTATCATCATCAGTCATCTTGTAGTACATTACTACTATCATCACATCACTGTAGCTAATTACTACTATCACATCACATCACTGTATACTTACTACTATTCACATCACTGTCTACATTACTACTATCATCACATCACTGTGACTACATTACTACTATCATCACATCACTGTAGCTACATTACTACTATCATCACATCACTTAGCTACATTACTACTATATCACATCACTGTTACTACATTACTACTATCATCACATCCACTGTAGCTACATTACTACTATCATCCTCTGTATATATCAATATTCACTTAATAATGTCTACATTACTACATATCACATCACTGTACACATCACATCACTATGTACTACATTACTCACTCACTCATCATCACTTATCTACACATGTAGCTAACTACATCACATCACTGTATATTACTACTATCATCACATCACTAGCTACTTACTACTATCATCACATCACTGATACTACTACTATCATCACATCACTGTAACTACATTACTCACTACAATCATCACATCACTGTATACTACTATATATCACATCACTGTAGCTACATTACTACTATCATCACATCACTGTATATTACTACTATATCACATCACTGTATTACATATTCACTCCTGTTAATTACTACAATCACATACTTAGCTACATTACTATATACCATATACTATCATCATCACTGTAGCTAATTACTACTATATCACATCACTGTAACTTACATCAGCATACTTAGCTCACTCTACATCATCCATCACTGTATACATTACTACATATCATTCACATCACTGTAATCTACCTATTCACATTGTATTATCTATATCACATCACTTAGCTACATTACTACTATCATCACATCACTGTAGTACATTACTACTATCATCACATCACTGTATACTTACTACATCACATCATTCACATCATCACTGTAGCTACATTACTACTATCATCACATCACTGTATATTACTACTATCATCACATCACTGTATCTACATTACTACTATCATCACATCACTGTATACATTACTACTATCATCACATCACTGTAGCTACATTACTACTATCATCACATCACTGTAGCTACATTACTACTATCATCACATCACTGTAGCTACATTACTACTATCATCACATCACTGTAGCTACATTACTACTATCATCACATCACTGTAGCTACATTACTACTATCATCACATCACTGTAGCTACATTACTACTATCATCACATCACTGTATATCATTAACTATCATCATACACATCACTGTAGCTACATTACTACTATATTCACATCACTGTAGCTACATTACTACTATCATCACATCACTGTAGCTACATTACTACTATCATCATCACATCACTATATCTACATTACTACTAACTTCATCACATCACTGTATATACTATAATCATCATACTGCTATCATATTCACTCACGTATATTACTATATCACATCACTGTACTACATTACTACTATCAATCACTATCACTTAGTATACATATCACACTGACTACATTCATATCATCATCACTGTAATTACTATATCTCACATCACTGTACTACTATCACATCACTTAGCTACATTACTACTATATCACATCACTGTAGTATTACTACTATTACATCACTATCATCATATCACTTATCTTACATACTACTATATCTCACTAGTCACCTACTAATCCTACACTTACTACTATACTATCACACATCACTGTATATTACTACTATCATCACATCACTGTAGTCTACATATACTACTATCATCACTCACCTGTATTACATTACTACTATCATCACATCACTTTATTACTACATCATCACATCACGTATATTACTACTATCATCACATCACTGTAGACTACATTACTACTATCATCACATCATACAACTTATTATACTTACTATCATCACATCACTGTAGCTACATTACTACTATCATCAACACTACTGTATCATACTACACTATCATCACATCACTGTTATTACTACTATCTCACATCCTGTATTCATATCACAATCACTTACTACATTACTATCTATCATCACATCACTGTATTACATTACACTATCATCACATCACTTAGCTACATTACTACTAATTCATCATCACTGTACTACATTACTACTATCATCACATCACTGTAGCTACATTACTACTATCATCACTCTTACTACATTCTACTTATCTATCATGTATATTACTACTATCATCACTCACTGTGACTACATTACTACTATATTCACTCACATCCTGTAGCTACATTACTACTATCATACATCACTGTACTACATTACTACTATCATCACATCACTTAGCTACTTACTACTACATCACATCACTGTATTACTCTATCCATCACTTAGCTACTATACATCAATCACTGTAGCTACATTACTACTATCATCACATCACTGTATATTACTACTATATCACATCACTATAGCTACATTACTACTATCATCACATCACTGTATACATTACTACTATCATCACATCATATTCTACTATATCATCACTGTACTACATTACTACTATCATCACATCACTGTATAATTACTACTATCATCACATCACTTAGCTACATTACTACTATAAATATCACTTTATCACTATATCACATCACTTTATTACTACTATCATCACAATCACTGTATATTACTACTATATATCAATCACTATACTACATTACTACTATCATCACATCACTGTATTACTACTATATCATCACATCATTACTACATTACTACTATCATCACATCACTGTATATTACTACTACATCACATCACTTAGCTTACAATTACTACTATATATCACATCACTGTACTACATTACTACTATCATCACATCACTGTAGCTACATTACTACTATCATCACATCACTGTAGCTACATTACTACTAATCATCACATCACTGTACTTACATTACTACTATCATCACATCACTGTAGCTACATTACTACTATCATCACATCACTGTACTCATCTACTATCATCACATCACTGTAGCTACTTACTACTATCATCACATCACTGTATTACTATACTATTACTCATGTAGCTACATCACTATCATCACACGTTAACTACTATATTCACATCATGTACTACATTACATACTAATACATCATGATATACACTATCATCAATCACTGTATATTACTACTATATCACATCACTATAGCTACTTACTACTATCATCACATCACTGTAGCTCATTACTACTATATCACATCACTGTACTACATTACTACTATCATCACATCACTGTATTACATTACTACTATCATCACATCACTGTAGCTACATTACTACTATATCACATCACTGTAGCTACATTACTACTATCATCACTCACTTATTACATTACTACTATATCACATCACTATCACATACACTGATATTATCACATGTACTCTACTATCATCACATCACTGTATTTACTACTTCATCAACATCACTGTAGCTACATTACTACTATCATCATCATCACTGTATACATTACTACTATCATCACATCACTATAACTACACAACAGTATACTACTATATCACACTCACTGTAGCTACATTACTACTATCATCACATCACTGTAGCTACATTACTACTAATCATCACATCACTGAGCTACATATACTACTATCATCACATCACTGTATTACTTACATCAATATATATCACTATATCACTCACTGTACATTACTACTACATCACATCATGTACACTACTACATCATCACATCACTGTACTACATTACTACTATCATCACATCACTGTATATACTACATCAATCGTACACTATACTATCATCACTCACTGTACACTTACTACTATCATCAATCACTGTAGCTACATTACTACTATCATCACATCACTGTATACTTACTATATCTCACTTCATACACATCACTATAGCTACATTACTTACTATCATCACATCACTGTATACATTACTACTATCATCACATCACTGATAGCTACATTACTACTATCATCACATCATCTGTAATACACTATCATCACTTATACTACTATATCATCACATCACTGTAGCTACATTACTACTATCATCACAATGATCACTATTACTGCTACATTACTACTATCATCATATCACTGTATATTAACTATCACACTCACTGTATATACACTATCACACATCACTGTATATTACTACATCATCACATCCTGTACATTACTACTATCATCAATCACTTATACATTACTACTATCATCACATCACTGTAGCTATTAACTACTACATCATCAACAACATCACATTACTGATCATTACTACTATCATCACATCATGTAGCTACATTACTACTATCATCACATCACTGTAGCTACATTACTACTATATCACACATCACTGTAGCTACAAAATGATTACTTACTATCATCACATCACTGTAGCTACATTACTACTATCATCACATCACTGTACTACATTACTACTATCATCACATCACTGTAGCTACATTTACTACTACTATATCACATCACTGTAGTACTTACATTACTACTATCAATAACTACACATCACTGTAGCTACATTACTACTATCATCACATCACTGTATTTACAATTACTACTATATTGTACACATCACACTATAGTACATTACTACTATATCACATCACTGTAGCTACATTACTACTATCATCACATCACTGTATTTACTACACTATATCACATCACTATAGCTACATTACTACTATCATCATCATATCTTACTAATATCACATCACTGTATACTACTATCATCACATCACTGTAATTACTACTATCATCATCACTGTAGCTACATTACTACTACTCATCATATCACTGTATATTACATACTACTCATCACATCACTGTATATTACTACTATATCATCACATACTTATATACATACTATATCATCACATCACTGTATACATTACTACTATCATCACATCACTGTAGCTACATTACTACTATAATCACAATCACTGTAGCTACATTACTACTATATCAATCACTAGTACTTTACACTTAATTACTATATTCACATCACTATAGCTACATTATACTATAATCCACATCACTGTAGCTACATTACTACTATCATCACATCACTGTATTTACATTACTACTATATTCACATCACTATAGCTACATTACTACTATCTTCACATCACTGTAGCTACATTACTACTATCATCACATCACTGTAGCTACATTACTACTATATTCACATCACTGTAACTACATTACTACTATATTCACATCACTATAGCTACATTACTACTATCATGATGTCACTGTAGCTACATTACTACTATCATCATATCAGTGTATATTACTACTATCATCACATCACTGTAGCTACATTACTACTATATTCACATCCCTGTAGCTACATTACTACTATCATCACATCACTGTAACTACATTACTACTATCATCACATCACTGTAGCTACATTACTACTATCATCACATCACTGTATTAACATTACTACTATATTCACATCACTATAGCTACATTACTACTATATTCATATCACTGTAACTACATTACTACTATCATCACATCACTGTATATTACTACTATCATCACATCACTATAGCTACATTATTACTATCATCATATCACTGTATATTACTACTATCATCACATCACTGTATATTACTACTATCATCACATCACTGTAGCTACATTACTACTATCATCACATCACTGTAGCTACATTACTACTATAATCACATCACTGTAGCTACAGTACTGCTATCATCACATCACTGTATATTACTACTATCATCACATCACTGTATATTACTACTATATTCACATCACTGTACATCACTACTATCATCACATCACTGTAGCTACATTACTACTATCATCACATCACTGTAGCTACATTACTACTATCATCACATCACTGTAGCTACATTACTACTATCATCACATTACTGTAGCTACATTACTAATATCATCACATCACTGTAGCTACATTACTACTATCATCACATCACTGTAGCTACATTACTACTATCATCACATCACTGTAGCTACATTACTACTATCATCACATCACTGTAGCTACATTACTACTATCATCACATCACTGTATATTACTTCTATATTCACATCACTGTAGCTACATTACTACTATCATCACATCACTGTAGCTACATTACTACTATCATCACATCACTGTAGCTACATTACTACTATCATGATGTCACTGTAGCTACATTACTACTATCATCACATCACTGTAGCTACATTACTACTATATTTACATCACTGTATTTACACTACTACTATCATCACATCACTGTAGCTACATTACTACTATATTCACATCACTATAGCTACATTACTACTATCATCACATCACTATAGCTACATTACTACTATCATCACATCACTATAGCTACATTACTACTATCATCACATCACTGTAGCTACATTACTACTATCATGATGTCACTGTAGCTACATTACTACTATCATCACATCACTATAGCTACATTACTACTATCATCACATCACTGTAGCTACATTACTACTATCATCACATCGGTGTATATTACTACTATCATCACATCACTGTAGCTACATTACTACTATATTCACATCACTGTATATTACTACTATCATCACATCACTGTATATTACTACTATCATCACATCACTGTACATTGCTACTATCATCACATCACTGTACATTACTACAATCAGATCAGCAGGGTCAAATAATAATCACAGTGGTTGTAGACAGGTCAGTACCTCAGGAGTAAATGTCAGTTGGCTTTTCATAGCCGATCATTCAGAGGTCAATACAGCAGGTGCGGAAGAGAGAGTTGAAAACAGCAGGTCTGGGACAAGGTAGCACGTCCGGTGAACAGGTCAGGGTTCCCTAGCTGCAGGCAGAACAGTTGAAACTGGAGCAGCAGCACGACCAGGTGGACTGGGGACAGCCAGGAGTCATCAGGCCAGGTAGTCCTGAGGCATGGTCCTAGGGCTCAGATCCTCCGGGAGGGAAGGGGGAGAGAGAGAATTAGAGGGAGCATACTTAAATTCACACAGGACACCAGATAAGACAGGAAAATAACACCAGATATAACAGACTGACCCTAGCCCCCCGGCACATAGACTATTGCAGCATAGATACTGGAGGCTGAGACAGGGGGGGTCGGGAGACACTGTGGCCCCGTCCGACAATTCCCCCGGACAGGGCCAACCAGGCAGGATATAACCCCACCCACTTTGCCAAAGCACAGCCCCCACACCACTAGAGGGATATCAACAGACCACCAACCTACTACCCTGAGACAAGGCTGAGTATAGCCCACGAAGATCTCCTCCACTGCATGAGCCAGAGGGGGAGCAAAACCGGACAGGAAGATCACGTCTGTGACTCAACCCACTCAAGTGACGCACCCCTCCTAGGGACGGCATGGAAAGCACCAGTAAGCCAGTGACTCAGCCCCCGTAACAGGGTCAGAGGCAGAGAATCCCAGTGGAGAGAGTGGAGCCGGCCAGGCAGAGACAGCAAGGGCAGTTCGTCTCTCCAGTGCCTTGCCGTTCACCTTTGCACCCCTGGGCCAGACTACACTCAATCATAGGACCTACTGAAGAGACGAGTCTTCAGTAAAGACTTAAAGGTCGAGACCGAGTCTGCGTCTCTCACATGGATAGGAAGACCATTCCATAAACATGGAGCTCTATAGGAGAAAGCCCTGCCTCCAGCTGTTTGCTTAGAAATCCTAGGGCCAATAAGGAGGCCTGCTTCTTGTGATGATCTCCTTCCAGACAGACATCAGGGACTGTAACATACTCTGTTTCACAGAATCATGGCTCTCTGCGGATATACTGTCCTTGTCCATACAGCCAGCTGGGTTCTCAGTACATCTCGCAGACAGGAATCAAAAACTCTCCAGGAAGAAGAAAGGCGGAGGTGTATTTTTTATGATTAACTATTCATGGTGTGATTGTGGTAACGTACAGGAACTCAAATCCTTTTGTACACCCGACCTAGAATACCTCAATCAAATGCCTCCCGAGATAATTATTTTCGGTCATCGTCACAGACGTGTATTTTCCCCCTCAAGGAACTGCACTGGACTTTGTGCAAACTGGAAACCGCATATCCTGAGGCCGCATTTATTGTAGCTGGGGACTTTAATAAAGCAAATCTAAGGAAAACGCTACTGAAGTTCTATCAACACATTGCCTGCAGTACGCTTCAAAAACTCTCAACCATTGTTACTGTCCCTTCTGGGATGGCTACAAGGCCCTCCCCTGCCCTCCAGAGTTGGCTCTGAGAATAACATTGACATATACACACACAAAAAAAAACATGGATAGATGCCGGCATTCGCGCAAAACTGAAAGCGTGAACCACCGCATTTAACCACGGCAAGGAATATGGTTGAATTCAAACAGTCCAGTTATGCCCTCTGTAAGGCAATCAAACAGGCCAAACATCAGTACAGACACAACGGCTCAGACACGAGACGTATGTGGCACAGACTCCAGACAATCATGGAATACAAAGGGAAAACCAGCCATGTTGCAGATGCCGATTTCTTACTTCCGGACAAGCTAAACAGCTTCTTCATTCACTTAGAGGATAACACAGTGCCGCCGACACGGGCCGCTCCCTAGGACTGTGAGCTCTCCTTCCCTGACCCCTGCTACTGGGGTCACTGTGACCAGGCAGTGACTGTGGAAACCATAGCTCCTACTAAACCATGTAGGTCATATTCCTATCCCTCTGCCTGTCCTGATCTTTTGTTTGTGCTGTCAGATCACCAAGCTGAAGATTGACAGGAACCCGTTCGCTAAGGGCTTCAGAGATCCAGGCCGGAACAGGTAAACAAACACTGCTATAGATAAACACTTTGTTAGAGCATCTACATCACACCTTATTCTCTATATAGTGCACTATTGTAACACTTCTGATCCCGCTCTCTCTGTGTAGGGGTGTGTTGGATGGGCTGCTGGAGTCCTATCCCTGGAGAAATCCCCTCAGTCTGGAGTTGAAACCTTTTACTCTACAGCTGCAAGGTGACTGGCTACTGACAGACCTACTGACAGACCTACTGACAGACCTACTGACAGACCTACTGACAGACCCACTGACAGACCTACTGACAGACCTACTGACCTACTGACAGACCTACTGAGCTACTGACAGACCTACTGACAGACCTACTGACAGACCTACTGACAGACCCACTGACAGACCTACTCACAGACCTACTGACAGACCTACTGACCTACTGACAGACCTACTGACAGACCCACTGACCTACTGACAGACCTACTGACAGACCTACTGACCTACTGACAGACCTACTGACAGACCTACTGACTGACCTACTGACAGACCTACTGACAGACCTACTGACAGACCTACTGACAGACCTACTGACAGACCTACTGACAGACCCACTGACAGACCTACTGACAGACCTACTGACAGACCTACTGACCTACTGACAGACCTACTGACAGACCTACTGACAGACCCACTGACAGACCTACTCACAGACCTACTGACAGACCTACGACAACCTACTGACAGACCTACTGACAGACCTACTGACATACCCTACTGACATCCCTACTGACAGACCTACTGACATACCTACTGACAGACCTACTGACAGACCTACTGACAGACCTACAGACCTACTGACAGACCTACTGACAGACCTACTGACCTACTGACAGACCTACTGACAGACCTACTGACTGACCTACTGACAGACCTACTGACATACCTACTGACAGACCTACTGACAGACCTACTGACAGACCCTACTGACACTGAGACCTACTGACAGACCTACTGACATGACCTACTGACAGACCTACTGACAGACCCCCTGACCTATGACAGACCCTGACGACCTACTGACAGACCTACTGACAGACCTACTGACGACCTACTGACAGACCTACTGACAGACCCACTGACAGACCTACTGACAGACCTACTGACAGACCTACTGACGACCCACTGACAGACCTACTGACAGACCTACACTCTGACAGCACGCTACTGACAGACCTACTGCATGACAGACCTACACGACCTACTGACAGACCTACTGACAGACCCCACTGACAGACCTACTGACCCATGACCTACTGAAGACTACTGACAGACCTACTGACAGACCTACTGACAGACACCTACTGACAAGACCACCTACTGACAACCTACTCACAGACCTACTGACAGACCTACTGACAGACCCTACTGACCACGACAGACTACTGACAGACCTACTGACAGACCTACTGACAGACCTACTGACTGCCCTACTGACAGACCTACTGACCTACTGACAACCTACTGAAGACCTACAGACAGACCACTGACAACCTACATGAACCCTACTACACGATATGACATATACAGACCACTGACAGACCTATGATAACCACTACACTAGACCTACACAACACTGATTACTGACATTAAACCCTAACACTAACAACACGATTACTACATAATAACCCTAACACACAACACTGATTATTACATTCATAACCCTAACACTAACAACAACACTGATTATATTACATTCAGAACCCTAACACTAACAACAACACCGATTATTACATTAATAACCCTAACAACAACACTGATTATTACATTCAGAACCCTAACACTAACAACAACACCGATTATTACATTAATAACCCTAACAACAACACTGATTATTACATTCAGAACCCTAACACTAACAACAACACCGATTATTACATTAATAACCCTAACAACAACACTGATTATTACATTCAGAAACCTAACACTAACAACAACACTGATTATTACATTCTCTAACAACAACACACAGACAGCTAACTACAACACTATTCATTGTTTTAATAATAACAATACTGTTAACTCAATCACAGACAATACACTGTACAATACAACTCTAGTTATGGTTTTTAATCCAACTCTAGTTATGGTTATGGGCGGCAGGGAGCTTAGTGGTTAAGAGCGTTGTGCCAGTAACCGAAAGGTCGCTGGTTCTAATCCCCGAGCCGACTAGGTGAAAAATCTGTCGATGTGCCCTTGAGCAAGGCACTTAACCCTAATCGCTCTGGATAAGAGCGTCTGCTAAATGACTAAAATGTAATGGTTGTTAATTTAACTCTAGTTATGATTGTTAATCTAACTCTAGTTATGGTTGTTAATCTAACTGTAGTTATGGTTGTTCATCTAACAAAAGGTATGGTTGTTAATCTTGTTGTGTTGTCTTGTTGTCTCATCAGGAGGGAGCTGTGGGTCTCCAGGCAACTGCACTTCTCCTCTGAAGAGCCTTGTCCCTCTCTCCTGTCCTCCATCCTCTCACCCCTTCACCCTCTCCTCCTTCTCCTGCCCCGACACCAGCCTGCACTCCTTCAGTATTCCCCTCTGCTGCAAGACCTCCCCCTTCTCCCCCTTCTCCCCCATCTCCCCCTTGCCGGCCAGACCCTACCCCTCCCCCCGGCGTTACTCCCCCCTGCCTCTCGTCCTCTCGGCCCTGCAGGGGAAGAAGGCTTCAGGCTGCAGTGCTCTGTGTCTTCAGGGGGGCGTTCCCGGACATCCTCCCAGCCTGCAGCCACACCCCCTACAGGCCCCTCCCTCTCCCCTGTACTGTCTACACCGCTCCAGTCTACCCATCAACGCTCCCCTCGCTGCTCTCTCACGCCACGCCAAACTGGCTGACAGCACCACGGACTGTCTGCTACACCAAGCTCCCTGGCACACCACCATCAACCACTGCCTCTGACCTCTGACCCCTGACCTTTAACCCCTGACCCCTGACCCCTGACCCCTGACCCCTGACCTCTGACCCCTGACCTCTGACCCCTAGCCCCTGACCCCTGACCCCTGACCCTACATTTCCCTTACCCAAACCTAGCCTCAACACGTAGCCCTTATCCTGGAAACCACAGCACTGTCTCCTGCGCCAGAGAGATGGGAGAATTAGAGGGACCATTCAGTATGTTCTGGACAGACCATCACCATCTACTAAAGCTGTATCAGACCGTCATCTACTTTATGTTATATTTCGTAACTTTTCCTACCCTTCTGCTTTAGCTCTGACTGGTTTCTTTCAGCTGCAGAGTCCAAATGTTGTTTTCTACAAGCAAGCTTTCTGTTTCCTCTGAGCTGTGTATAAATGTCCTCTGTTGTGTGTGTACATGTATAATGTACTGTGTATATCTCAGACCAAACAAACACCAATTATTATTATGCCACTTCATAAAACGCTTTAAAAACACTTTCTGTTGAATTATGGAATCAAATACTATTTTACAGCACTGTTTTGTTGGGCTGTTGGATTCAGTTACACACACACACACACACAACACCACACACACACACACACACACACACACACACACACACACACACACACACACACACACACACACACACACACACACACACGCACGCACGCACGCACGCACGCACACACACACACACACACACACACACACACACACACACACACACACACACACGCACACACACACACACACACGCACACACACAAACGCGTGCACACGCAAACTTACACACACACACACAAGCGTGTGCACACGCACACAAACACATAAACACACAAGCGTGTGCACACGCACACGCACACACAAATCAAATGTTAATGGTCACATGCTAACCAACAGGTGTAGACTAACAGGGCCTTCAATGCAGACAGAAATAATAGTAGAGTAAAACAGGCCACCCCTGTCCTCTAGCCAGGACCAATCAGCCAGTTTCCACCGACCTGTCCTCATAGTCCAGTGAGACCATTCAGCCAGTTTCCACCCCTGTCCTCTAGGCCAGGACCTAATCAGCCAGTTTCCACCCCTGTCCTCTAGCCATGACCAATCAGCCCAGTTTCGCACCCCTGTCCTCTAGCCAGGGACCATCAGGGCCAGTTTCCCCCCCTGTCCCATCTAGCGCAGGACCCAAATTTCCACCCTGTCCCCAGCCAGTTTTCCAACCCCTGTCCTCTAGCCAGGACCCATTCAGCCAGTTTCCATCACCACACCGGTTCCTCTAGCCAGGCCCATTCTGCCAGTTTCCACACCCTGTCCTCTAGCCAGGACCATTCAGCCAGTTTCCACCCCTGTCCTCTAGCCAGGACCAACCAGCCAGTTTCCACCCCTGTCCTCTAGCCAGGACCATTCAGCCAGTTTCCACCCCTGTCCTCTAGCCAGGACCATTCAGCCAGTTTCCACCCCTGTCCTCTAGCCAGGACCATTCAGCCAGTTTCCACCCCTGTCCTCTAGCCAGGACCTTTCAGGCCAGTTTCCCCACCCCTGTCCTCTTGCCAGGCCTTTCCCGCCATTTTTCCACCCCTGCCCTCCTAGCCAGGCCCATTTTGCCAGTTTTCCACTCCTGTCCTCAAACCATGACCATTAAAGCCAGTTTCCACCCCTGCCCTCTTGCCAGGACCATTCACCATTCCACCCCTGTCCTCTAGCCAGGACCATTCAGCCAGTTTCCACCCCTGCCCTCTTGCCAGGACCATACAGCCAGTTTCCACCCCTGCCCTCTAGCCAAGCCCATTCTGCCAGTTCCCAATCCTGTCCTCTAGCCAGAACCATTCTGCCATTTTCCACGAAGTCCCAGCCGGCCCTTCTGACAGTTTCCACCCCTGTCCTCTAGCCAGGACCATTCTGCCATTTCTAACCTGTCCCTAGCCGGCCCTTCTGCCTTTTTTCCCCCCCTGTCCTCAGCCACCCCATTTTGCCTTTTTCCCCCACCCCTGTCCCTAGCCAAGCCATTCGCCAGTTTCCCCCCGGGCCTCTAGCCACCCCTTCTGCCTTTCCCCCGATGTCCTCTACCCCCCATTCTGCCCTTTTTCCACCCCTGTCCTCAGCCGGGCCCCTTCTGCATTTTCCCCCCTACCCTAGCCAGGCCCTTCTGCCATTTTTCCACCCCTGCCCCTCTACCGGGCCCCCTTTTTTGCCATTTTTCCACCCCGTCCTCTAGCCACCCATCTCCGGGTTTCCTACTAACCCTTTTCCCCTCTACCAGGCCCTTCTGCCAGTTTCCCCCCTGCCCCTTTTAGCCGGGCCCATTCCATTTCCACCCCCTTCCTCTAGCCGGGCCCCATTTTGCCATTTCCACCCCCCATCCTCTTAGCCGGCCCATTTTGCCATTTCCCCCCCCCCTGTCCCTAGCCAGGCCCTTTTGCCAGTTTTCCCCCCCCGCCCTCCCCAAAGGCCCTTTGCCATTTTTCCACCCCCTATCCCTACCGGGGCCCTTTGCCATTTTCCCCCCTGCCCTCTCCAGGCCCTTTTCTGCCAGTTTCCCCCCCTGCCCTACCAAAACCCTTCTGCCTTTCTACCCCTGGTCCCTAGCCAGGCCCTTTCCATTTTCCACCCCCCCTTCCCTCCAGGCCAATTCTGTCATTTTTCCACCATGTCCTCTAGACGACCCCATTCTGCCAATTTCCTCCCCTGCCCCTCTACCCAAAGCCCCATTCACCATTTTCCACCCCTGTCCCTGCCGCCCTTCTGCCCAGTTTCTACCCTTCCCCTTTTACCACCCCCTTCTGCCGGTTTTTAAAATCCTTCCTCTGCCAGCCCCCCGCCTTTTCCCAATCTCTACCGGCCCATTCTCCTTTTCCACCCCCCGTCCGTAGCCGGGGAAATTCTCCCAGTTTTCCAAACCTGTCCCCACGGGCCCATTCTGCCAGTTTCCCCCCCAAGCCCCCTCTAGCAGGTCCATTCTGCCAGTTTCCACACCTGTCCTCTAGCCAGGCCCATTCTGCAGTTTCTACCCGTCCTCTAGCCAGGTCCATTCTGCCAGTTCCACACCTGTCCTCTAGCCAGGTCCATTCTGCCAGTTTCCACACCTGTCCTCTGCCAGGCCCATTCTGCCAGTTTCTACCCCTGTATTCTAGCCAGGTCCATTCTGCCAGTTTCCACACCTGTCCTCTAGCCAGGGGCATTTTTCCAGTGTCTACCCCTGTCCTCAAGTCAGGCCCTTTGTGCCAGTTTTACCCCTGTTCCTGCCAGGCCATTCTACCAGTTTCCACCATGTCCTCTAGCCAGGCCCATTCAGCCAGTTTGCCACTCACGTCCTCTAGCCAGGCCCATTCTGACATTTTCCACCCCTGTCCTCCAGCCAGGCCCATTTGCCAGTTTCCACCCCTATCCTCTAGCCAGGCCCATTTTGCCAGTTTCCACCCCTGTCCTCCAGCCAGGCCCATTTTGCCAGTTTCCACCCCTATCCTCTAGCCAGGCCATTTTAAACAGTTTCCAACTCTGTCCTCTAGGCCAGGCCCATTTTGCCAGTTTCCACCCCTGTCCCTCTAGCCAAACCCATTCTGCCAGTTTCTACCCCTGTCCTCTAGCCAGGCCCCATTCTGCCAGTTTCCTCCCCTGTCTTAGCCAGGCCCCATTCAGCCAGTTTCCACCCCTGTCCTCTAGCCAGGCCCATTTCGCCAGTTTCCACCCCTATCCTCTAGCCAGGCCCATTTTGCCAGTTTCCACCCCTGTCCTCTAGCCAGGCCCATTTTGCCAGTTTCCACCCCTATCCTCTAGCCAGGCCCATTTGCCAGTTTCCACCCCTGTCTTCTAGCCAGCCCATTTAGCCATTCCCCCCTGTCCTCTAGCCAACCCATCTGCAGTTCTACCCTGTCCTCTACCGGCCCATCGCCATTTCCACCCTGTCCTCTCCAGGCAATTCTGTCATTTCCCCAGTCTCAAAACCCTTCTAATTTCCTCCCCTGTCCTCTACCCCCCATCAGCCGTTTCCACCCTGCCTCACCTGACCATCTGCAGTTTCTCCCCCGTCCTCTACCGGCCCTTCGCCGGTTTACAATCCTGTCCTCTGCCAGGCCCACTCTGCCATTTCCCCCCGTCCCAGAGACCTTCTGCCAGTTTCCCCGTCCCTACCAGCCCATTTGCCAGGTTTCACCCCTTCCTCAGCAGCCCATTTGCCATTTCCACCCCTGTCCTCTAGCCAGGCCCATTGCCATTTCCCCCCGTCCCTAGCCGCCCATTTTGCCATTTCTAACCCTGTCTCTAGCCGGCCATTGCCAGTTTCCACCCGTCCTCTAGCCGGCCCATTGCCAGTCCCCCCTGTCCTCAGCCAAACCCATTCTCCATTTCTACCCCTGTCCTCTAGCCAGGCCCATTTGCCAGTTTCCACCCCTGTCCTCTAGCCAAACCCATTCTGCCAGTTTTCTACCCCTGTCTCTAGCCAGCCCATTCTGCCCAGTTCTACCCCCTTCCTACCAGGCCATATGCCAGTTCCACCTCCTCTAGCCAGGCCATTCTGGCCTTTTCCACCCCTGTCCTCTAGCAGGCCATTCTGCCAGTTTTCCACCCCTGTTCTAGCCAGGTCCATTCTGCCAGTTTCCACACTGTCCTCTAGCAGGTCCATCGCCGTTTCCACACCTGTCCTCTAGCCAGGCCATTCTGCCAGTTTCCACACCTGTCCTCTAGCCAGGCCCTTCGCGCCATTCTACCCCGTCCTCTAGCCGGTCCATTCTGCCAGTTTCCACACCTGTCCTCTAGCCAGGTCCATTCTGCCAGTTTCCACACCTGTCCTCTATGCCGAGGCCCATTCTGGCCAGTTTCTACCCCTGTATTCTAGCCAGGTCCATTCTGCCAGTTTCCACACCTGTCCTCTAGCCAGGGGCATTTTTTCCAGTGTCTACCCCTGTCCTCAAGTCAGGCCCGTTTGTGCCAGTTTCTACCCCCTGTTCCCTAGCCAGGAGGCCCAATTCTAACCAGTTTCCCCCACCATGTCCTCTAGCCA